GAAGTCAAATTGTCTCTATTTGCAGGTGACATGATTGTGTATCTAGAAGACCCCATTGTCTCAGCCCAAAAGCTCCTGAAACTGATAAGCAACTTCAGCAAAGTCTCAGGATACAAAATCAATGTGCAAAAATCACAAGCATTCCTATACAACAATAACAAACTTAAAGAAAGCCAAATCAAGAATGAACTGCCATTCACAATTGCTACAAAGAGAATAAAATACCTAGGAATACAACTAACAAGGAATGTAAAGGACCTCTTCAAGAAGAACTACAAGCCACTGCTCAATGAAATCAGAGAGGACACAAACAGATGGAGAAACATTCCATGTTCATGGTTAGGAACAATCAATGGCGAGAAAATGGCCATACTGCCCAAAGTAATTCACAGATTCAATGCTACCAATGACCTTCTTCAGAGAACTGCAAAACACACCTTAGACTTCATATGGAACCAAAAGAGAGCCCGCATAGACAAGTCAATACTAAGCAAAAAGAACGAAGTGGGAGGCATTATGCTACCGGACTTCAAACAAAACTACAAGGCTACAGTAATCAAAACAGCACCGTACTCGTACCAAAACAGAGATACAGACCAATGGAACAGAACAGAGGCCTCGGAGGCAACACAACATATCTACAACCATCCGATCTTTGACAAACCTGACAAAAACAAGCAATGGGGAAAGAATTCCCTGTTTAATAAATGGTATTGGGAAAACTGGCTAGCCATGTATAGAAAGCAGAAACTGGATTCCTTCCTGACGCCTTACACTAAAATTAACTCCAGATGAATTAAAGACTGAAACATAAGACCTAACACCATAAAAACCCTAGAAGAAAATCTAGGCAAAACCATTAAGGACATAGGCTAGAGCTTCATGACCAAAAGACCTAAAGCATTGGCAACAAAAGCCAAAATAGACAAATGGGACTTATTCAAACTCCACCGCTTCTGCACAGCAAAAGAAACAGTCATTAGAGTGAATCGGCAACCAACAGAATGGAAAAAAAATTTTTGCAGTCTACCCATCTGACAAAGGGCTGATATCCAGAATTTACAAAGAACAAAACCAGATTTACAAGAAAAAAAAAAAAAACAAACAAGCAGGTGAAGGATATGAACAGACACTTTACAAAAGAAGACATACATGAGGCCAACAAACATATGAGAAAATGCTCATCATCACTGGTCATTAGAGAAATGCAAAACAAAACTACATTGAGATATCATCTCACGCCAGTAAGAATGGCAATCATTAAAAAATCTAGAGACAACAGATGCTGGAGAGGATATGGAGAAATAGGAAGACTTTTTACACTGTTGGTGGGAGTGTAAATTAGTTCAACCATTGTGGTAGACAGTGTGGCGATTCTTCAAGGACCTAGAAATAGAAATTCCATTTGACCCAGCAATCCCATTACTGGGTATATATCCAAAGGATTATAAATTGTTCTACTATAAGGACACGTGTACACGAATGTTCATTGCAGCACTCTTTAAAATAGCAAAAGACCTGGAACCAACAAAAACGCCCATCGATGATAGACTGGACAAGGAAAATGTGGCACATATACACCATGGAATATTATGCAGCCATCAAAAATGATGATTTCGTGTCCTTTATAGGGATATGGATGAACCTGGATACGATCATTCTCAGCAACCTGACACAAGAACAGAAAATCAAACACCGCATGTTCTCACTCATAGGCGGGTATTGAACAATGAGAACACATGGACACAGGGAGGAAAGCACTACACACTGGGGTCTGTTGGGGAAAAACGGGGGAGAGACAGTGAGGCGTAGGGAGTTGGGGAGAGACAGCATGGGGAGAAATGCCAGATATAGGTGAAGTGGAGGAAGGCAGCAAATCACACTGCCATGTGTGAACCTATGCAAGAATCTTGCATGTTCTTCGCATGTACCCCAATACCTAAAATGCAATAAAAAAATAAGGGACTCCTGCTCAAAACTCCCCCTCTACCAAGAGAAATCGGTAAGTCATCTACAGTTTATATGGTAAAATTCTCATATCTTATGTAGGATTCTCTGATCCCACTTCCAAAAGATAAAGTCAAGAAACCAACTGTTTCACTCAGACACATCCTGTGGCCTGACGATCACATCCCATTGTACCTCGTCCTCTGCAGCATCCAAAGAAGTGTCTTCTGGCTGAAGAGCAGGCCCTAGAAGGATGCAAAGTGACCATGAGCAATTTGGAGGCATTGCTCGTTGACATCAGGGGCATGCCACGATTTGGGTGAGGGAGGAGGATGGCAGGAAAACGACAGGAGCAGAAAAGAAAGGGAATCAGGGCCTTTGGTTTTGTAGCTCAAGGTCACCACAATGCGAAACAGTCCATCTCAAACATGGCACACCACCCAGGGCAGACTATGTTTCCCTGCAGCTTCTCATTACCATCTGACCTGAGCCATCTTGCCCTCCCTTCTTCATTCCTTGCAAAGTCATTTCCTCTCACAATTCACAAGTGGTGCTGCTCTGGCCATTACCCACCTACAGGATTTTGTACTTCATAAGGAACAACCGTGCCTCAGAGACAATATAACATTCTGTCCAACATATGCTGTGGTATTTATTTATTTTTTTACTTACTTATTTATATTTCTTTTCTATCAATTTCTACTTTAAAAGATAATACTGCCGTTGTATTTATTAATCGTAAGTAAAAAGTTAAACCAAAACATCAAAATGCTCAATGATCCTATCATTTTAAGAATATTCCTAATCAGCATGTGGTATTTGTCTTTCCACTCTTTATTTTCATCCCCTCCTGTGTGTTACAAGGAGTCTGTTGCTGATCATACAAAGACAGGATCCAGGACTGGGACAACTCTTCTTGAGTGGCACAAGTGGGACGCTGATCCTCTCTAATCCAGCTGTGCAGAAGAACCTAGCCACACAAGGGCCACCTGTCAGGTGACTGCCAGAAGCTATTTTTTGTGCCACCACAGGGAGATCAAGCCAGGCAACTACCCTCAAGTGTCTGGCCTAACCCTCAAGTTCGTTCCTACCGATCATGTCATCTCTGGGCCAAGCTGAACATTTCAGAAACACACTCCTGTTCACTTTCTCACTAATTCTTGGTGGGTACCCTGCCATCAACACACACAAAAAAATGGAGAAGGCAAGAAATAAGGCTGCTTTTGTGTCCATGCTTTTAGAATTGATGGCCAATATTCAGGCCAGCCATGAAGTTGGAGCTCATCTCTGCCTTCAGATGAGGCTTGAACATTCTAGCTGTGCCCAGGTGATGGTGTAGAACTCACTCTCCTGATGTTGCACTTTGGTTTCCCCTCCACCTTCATGGCTTTCCTGTCCTCATTCCTTCCTTCTATTCCTCTAAATCATGTTACCTGGCAGGCACAGGCCAAGGTCATAGCCTGCTCTCTCTCTTTCTCACAGACAAACCTGGGCAGTTGCCTATGAATTCCTAGAGACTCAATGTTGCTAACGCTGATGTCAACCTTTAATCCCTCACAGCAGAAAACCTACGGGGTACCAAACAGCAACATCAACAACAACAATAATAACAACAAAATGTAACAAAAGCAAAGAATCTTCTAGGGATTAAAGAGGAATAGGGGAATCAGGTAATGAGCAGATGGCTTCTGAGGTTAGCTAGAAACATTTTTAAATCACAAACGCCTGTGTTTTAAAATGTGGGATAAACACTGACACCTACACACCTATCAAATCCAATTTAGATAGAGTAAGTTTCCACCAAATGCATATTCCAAGAATGAAACTCAAGCTATACTTTGGCTCAGCTTATACATATATTTAACCAAAATCCACTGCTTTCCCTTGCTGTTTGCAAGGGACTTCAGAGGAAAGCAAGAACATTTCTCAAGAGTGGGTACAACGGGGACCTAATAGAGCCTCTGCGGTTTCACAGCCAAGTTTCTTTTCCTAAACGTGCAAGGCATGACCTATCCATCCTGCTAGGAAGGCAAGTGTTAACCCTGCCTCTCAGACCCTGTGCAAACCACGTGGCTGTCTTTTCTCTTTGCTGTGTTCCTGTCCGAGCACACGCAACCAGGACTAAGCCAAGGGAGGAAAGGCTGGAACTCCACATATCCCTGACACTCTCTATTCTTGGCCATATTAGCTGATGGGCAGTATAAGGCCTCAATGAAGAAAGCTGGGGTGATTTCACCCTAACTCTGCTTGCAGGTTCCTCTCTTCTCAGTTTCTCACCAGAACTGGCCATAGCTTTAGGCTGTACCAGGGTCTACATGCACAGAAAGGAGCTCGGCTCACTCTCCCTATTCAAGATGGGCCATGGACGATTAATTCTGAGGGCTTTGGTGGAAAAGGCTTGTGAAGATTGGAAGCGGCTAGAGTGAGCCACTCCAGTGACAGGAGGAAACAGAAAAGCCTGTAAATGGATCAGGTTTATTTGAAAACCAAGCACAGCAGGGAATTGTGAATGAAAAAAATAAAATGAGCAGAGATCCTCAAACAGTTCTGTTCTTTTGGTACACCTTAATAATTGGCCTGGGTATGGATGGAACATTTTCTGGGTTAAAGCACCTTTTGCATGCAATCAACTGCACACATCGTAAGCTCCCAAGTTGACTTTTTCCTGTGCCTATTGTAAGAATGCAGTGCTGATAAAATCCCTGTGGAGAACGTGAATACTAGAAAATCTGAGGATCTGTATGTATGGAAACCAAAACACACAACCCAAGACACAGTGACCATGGCACTGCATGAATTCACAAAAGACCTGGGACGGTCCCATGCACAGGATCCCACCCCACCTTCAGAGAATGCAGTTGCACCCAGGGACTGCAGAATGTGACCATTGTTCCTTATCTGGTAAAATCATTTCTCCTGCAGCTGCCTACGACCACTTTCGCAACAGGAAGCTCAACTCAGGCTGCCTGTCTGCAGGATAGCCTGTGACACAGTGCCACATTCCTCATCTTCTGGATTACTCACCGGTATGACAGGGGTTCCCCAACACTTACTGGCTTGCTGCAGTCCCACAGCTTCCTGTAATGACAGAAAATAAATTCTTATGACCATCAGACCATGCTGTGTCCTTACTTTCCTGCCCTCAAAGAAACCCAAAAGAACCGAGCACACTGACGCATGCTGCAGACAAGGTTTTTGAACGATGTTTCTTTCCACCATGTTGCTTGGACATTAAGTGAATTTTGTCCTAAAAAGACAACAGACCTGCTAAGGAAAAAAAGCTTGCCACCACAGTGTGTGATTGATGCTGTCACTTTCTCCCACTGTCTTAAATCGAGTCCCAGTCAAGAAGGGACTGTTGCTCAAAACTCCCCCAACCAAGGGAATTCTGTAAGTCATCTACAGTTTATATGGTAAAATTCTCGTATCTTATATAAGATTCTCTGATCCCAATTCAAGAAGATAAAGTCAAGAAAGCAACTGTTTCACTCAGAGACATCCTGTGGCCTGACAATCACATCCCATTGTACCTCGTCCTCTGCAGCATCCACAGAAGTGTCTTCCTGCTGAAGAGCAGGCCCTAGAATGATGCAAAGTGACAATCAGCAATGTGGTGGCATTGCTCATTGACAATTCAGGGACATGCCATGATTTGGGTGAGGGAGGAGGGTGGCAGTAAAATGACAGGAATAGAAAACAAAGGGAATCAGGGCCTTTGGGTTTGTAGCTCCAGGCCACCACAATGTGAAACATCCATCTCAAACATGGCACACCACCCAGGGCAGGCTATGTTTCCTGCAGCTTCTCAGGACTATCTGACCTGAGCCATATTGCCCTCCCTTCTTCATCCTTTGCAAAGTCATTTCCTCTCACAATTCACAAGTGGTGCTGCTCTGGCCATCACCCATCTACAGGATTTTGTACTTCATAAGGAACAACCTTGCTTTAGAGACAATGTAACATTTTGGCCAACATATGCTATGGTATTTATTTATTTATTTACTTATTTATATTTCCTTTCTAACAATTTTTATTTTAGAAGATAATAGTGCTATTGTATTTATTAATCCTAAGTAAAAAGTTAAACCAAAACATCAAAATGCTCAATCATCCTATCACTTCAAGAATATCCCTAATCAGCATGTGCTATATGTCTTTCCACTCTTTATTTTCATCTTTTCATCACCTCATGTGTGTTACATGGCGTCTGTTGCTAATCATACTCACACAGGCTCCAGAACTGGGACACCCCCTGTTGAGTGGCACAAGGTGGGACTCTGATCCTAACCCAGCTATGTATAAGAATCTAGCTACACAAGGACCACCTGTCAGGTGACTGCCAGAAGCTATTCTTTGTGCCACCACAGGGAGATCAATTGGGGTAAACTACCCTCAAGTGTCTGGCCCAACCCTCAAGTTCGTTCCTACCGATCATGTCATCTCTGGGCCAAGCTGAACATTTCAGGAACACACTCTTGTTCACTGTCTCACTAATTGTTGGTGGCGACCTGCCATCAACACAGAGAAACATGGAGAAGACAAGAAACAAAGCTGCTCCTCTGTCCATGCTTTTAGAATGATGGCCGATATTCAGGCCAGTCATGAAGTTGAAGCTAATCTCTGCCTTCAAATGAGGCTTGAACATTCCGGCCTTGCCCAGGTGATGGTGTAGAAATTACTCTCCTGATGTGCACCTTGGTATCCCCTCCACCTTCATGGCTTTGCTGCCTCACTCCTTCCTTCTATTCCTCTAAATCATGTTTCCTGGCAGGCTAAGGCCATGGCCTGCTCTTTCTCTTTCTCACAGAGAAACCTGGGCAG